GCCCTCCTCCTGGTACCGGGCGGCCGCAGCGCAGTCCCCGTAGCCGGTCACCGAATGTCGTCCGGGTTGCGCCCCTCGTCTCTCCAGGGGCCCCGCCGCTCCCACTCCAGACCCGGCTAGAGCCCCAGGGCTGCCCAGGGCCGGGGGGTACGAGTGGCGGCTTTCCTGGCAGCCGAACCCCGGGGGCCGGTGAGCGCAAAGTCGGTCTAGGGCGGCGTGGAGTTCGGGATAAGCGGACGGCGCCCCTCCGGGCGAGTAGCCCGCCGGAGCCCCGGCCAGAGGCGGGCCGAACAGGCACGGAGCTGCCCCGGGGGCTGGACGGCTTGCTCGCGTCGCTGGCGGAGCTACTGGCGAAACTGGAGCGGGGGCTGAGGGCTGGGGCCGTGGTCTCCAACCGAAAGTCTGGGGGCAGTGACTGAGGTAGAGGCAAGGCCCGGGAGGGAGCCGGCCCCCCGGGAAAGGAGCCCTCGTAGCGCTGCGCCTCAAAGGAGCCGCGCGGGTTGCGCTCAGCGTCCAGGGGTCCTTGCTCCCGGGCTGGTTCCAGCGGCTCATCCCCAGGCCCCCCGGTAGCTCCACGGGGCCCTGATTTCCTCGGTCCCCCCGACCCACTCAGGCGCCCTTTGGCCGGCCCGGGGGTCCCATCAGACCGGCTAGATTCACCCTTTCTGCGGCCGAACTTAGCGCTGCCGGAGTCCGAGAGTCTTAACTTCTCAAACAGGCGACTGGCTTTCTCTCCCAACCGCTCCATGCCCTCGGGCCTGGGGCCTCCAGCCCCCTCCCCGCCCCGCACCCAGCAGCGTCTCGGCCCCTGCTTCTCTTTGCCTGCGGCCGGGCTCCGGTTCCCCGGGTAGGCACAAGGGTTTAGCGGGCGGCCCAGATGCCCGGCGCCAGGAATCCCCCAGCATCCCCCGGCAAGAGGGGCAGCGGACCCCCGCGCATCAGGGGCTGAGCAGGGCTCGGAGGGCCTATGGCTGTCCCGTCCGCAGGTCTATCTGTCCACGCGTCGACTTGCCCGGCCGCCCCGCTGCTCCCGGCCCCCGCCCCCCTCGCTCTCACACTCAGCACGGACGGAACTTCTCTCCCAAACTTTTGTCTGCCTGGCCGGATCTACTTTCCGGGAGGGGCGGAGCACCGAGCGAAGGAGAAATGGGGGTGTCTGCGCAGGGATCTCCGCTGCGCGGAATGGGGCGGTGGGAGCTGGTCCTGTCCTGGAGGTGGAGATTCGCCGCCAGGAGAGGAGCGGAGGGCAAGTTCGGGCAGTTGCTCCTGCATCACTCGATGACTGGGACAGGGAAAAGTTGGGGTGGGACTCTTTGTCTGCAGTTGGAATGCGCGGAGGGGCACGGTGGAATGTCCTGGTCTAGAACGGGGTGACGCGAGGCATGCTCTGTGCAAACACCACTTTGTTCCTAGTGTGGGGACTGGGAGAGATGAAGAGAGACTGATTGAGACAGGGAGGGATCCGTAAAGAGGAAGACAGGGAAAAAGAAGAAAGGTAGGTACATAAAGAGTTTCAGAGACGCCGGCGTAGTGTCCAGAAAGGCGAGGAAGCCCGTGGAGAGAGGTGGTGGAAGACAGGTAGCGAAAGGAAAGGGAGCAAAGGAGATTGTGGTGCAGAGACCGAAGGATGAATAGACTAAGAAAAAGACAAATTTGTGCAAGTCCAGAGAGAATGAGAGATAAACTGTAATAACAAGACACCACTTCCTGAACCCTAAGCTCTGTTTAAGAAGGGAAGGAACTTTAGTGTCTATGTAAAAGGAGGAAAAGGTTTGGAACTAATCTCTAACTTCAGATTAGGACAGATAGACAGACACCCCCTGGTGTTGGGAAATGAAATTTTTTAGCAAATATTTCAGGTGACTATGGGATAGAAGGTCTGGTTTTAGGGCTAGCGAATGCCCCCCCCCCCCCCACTTTGGTTGGCCCACAGGAGATTGGCGATAAAGAGTAAGTATTAAGAGGAAGAAAAGTAATATCATTTAAAGGAGTTAGCAAGTGAAATGATCAGGGTGGAAAAGAAAAAGAGGCTGATATTGGCCATACTAGAAGGATCAAGAATAAGGAAAAGAAGAAACCATGGTTGAAGCTAAACATATCCAGTTAAATACCCACCAACTGATTTTGCCCAGACTAACACATCAGGGGCAAGAATGGAGAAGGAAAATGACTCCTTTGTATTTAGATAGAAAACGAATCGTGCAAACAAATCATGCATATTATTTTTGTCTCAACATTTTGAACACCTTTTATAATCTTAGTGTAGCCTTAGGGAATGGGAAAGAAAAGGGGGTTAATATCTTTGGGGAAATTAATTTGGTACAAACTATTTGGCTTCTTTGTTCTAGCTGCATTGTTTCCCTGACCTCATCTCTCCTGAGAATCAGCTTCTCTGTTTGCCTGGTCAGGCTTACAGCTTTTCTCTGATCCAGAAGAGAGTTTACTATCAGACTGGAAGCAAGGAGGACTGAAAGCATTAGTAATAGAGGGGAGCTATCAGATTGCATCCAGAACTTGCTGTGAGCGACATCTTCAGAATTAACATAGGTTGCTCCCTCCTTTCCTGTCTCCAAATTGGGAAAGAGAACCTGAATTCTTCCTCCCAGTTATTTACACCCAAAATACCCGAACAGCCTCTAATATTTGGAAGCTTTGCTCCTTTGGGGTGAGGATGAGAGTAAATCGTATGGAAGGTTGAAAAGCCACTAAAGGAGGCCCACCCAGGAGTTGGTGGTGGCAGCAGTGAGCACAGTTGGAATCAATGACCTGCATTTTCAGGGGATCATAGGAAGGGGGCGAGAGGTACACTGAGATGGCATGCTCCCATAGGGCTCACAACCTCAGGGTAACCAGTCATTAGTTTAAACTGGAGTCAGGAGCTCCACAGGCCCTATTTTCCATCCCAAAGACTTTAATTAAGGTCTATATATACACAAATGACTGCCAAATCCGTATCTCTAGCCCAGACTTTCTTGGATTTAAAAAATCTGAGTACGAGTATCTACTTGGTTATCTCAAAGGCATACAACACTCTAAACTGACCCCACCTTCCCTGCCTCCTGAAAGGGGCTCCTCCAGCATTCCCTGAGTAAATGGCATCCTTAACCACTTAGCTGCTTAAGCCAGAAACTTAAACATCAATCTTATGTCTTCCTCCCTTAATCTCAAATCAACAAAGTCCTAGCACCAAGTCCGATCAATTCTGCTTCCTAAATATCTTTCAAATCTGCCCTCCCTTCATCACCCCTGTGTCTCTCGGGCCACCATCTTTTCCCCCCAGAACCACTGCAAGTCTCACTGCCAAGGCTTCCCCCTTCCACGCCATCTCATAACCTAAGGTCAAGTGATTCTTCTAAACCACAGAGCTGGAGGTGGGTCGGGGCTGGGGTAAAACAGAACTGATCAACTCATTTCCCTCCTTAAAACCTTACAATGACTGATCATTGCCCTTGAACTGAAGTCTGAGCTCTTTAAGATATTTTACAAGGTTTTTCTACCTCTCCAGCCTCTTCTCCTCAGCATCATCCCCTCCCCAAAATGTTCTGCAGAAGTGTATCTTATCTGTGCTCTCTAGTGCCCGTTGCTCCTTATGTTTGGAACACTCTCCTGGCCTCCCTTCCCCCATCTTTCAGGTATCAGTTTAAACACCACTCTGAGAAGCCTTTCCAGACCCCCAGCATAGGTTAGCTACCCCTGCTGTATCCTGCCAGTGCACCCTACAGTCCCTCATCACTCTTAGCACTATTTATTTATTCCACTGCCTACTTAACTGCCTGGCTTTCTGACTAGATAATAAAACCTTAGATCAGCATCTACTTTGATCAACATTGTGTCTATAGCACAGTATCTGACACCTAGTAAGCAATCAATGTTTGTTATATGGATGACTGACTAGAAAGCCATTTTTACTTCTCCATCTATTCAAAATGCATACATTTTGTGTGCCAGTGTGCGCACGCACACACGCACACACATGTGGACACACGCACGCACACACCTTCCTCAAAATACAGTTAGGCTGACAAGATTAAGAAATAGCTACAGAGCCCTATATATGCACACAGTGGTAGAGCGGGTGCCAGTGATACATGGGAAATCTTTTAGCCTTAATTTCCTCATGTGTAAGATGAGAATAATAAAATCTGCTTTATGTAATTCAATAAAGCTATTACATCTAAATCCTAATTTCCAAAAAGGGATGGAACCCAGTTCTTCTCAGAAGAATCAAAGACTGAAACTGCCCAGCAGGTGGCAGTATTACCCTGGACTGGTTCCGTGCGGCTTCCGCTGCAGAGCTAGACCAGCGGTCCTGGGGAAGCAGAAGGTGCAACCAGAGCTGCTTCCCCAGAGCTTTGAGTGAAACCCGAAAAATAACAAAACAAAACAACAAACTCAGAGACTCGGGCATAGGTTGAGAAGGCCTCGTGTTTCTTAGACCCATCCTCCTCCTCCTCCTCTCCTCCTCGGCTCTTCTGAGGCATTGTTTATACTTAGGAACACACACTTTCTGGCTTGCCATTCACAATGGGGGACTTTCCCCCTTTCAGAGAAGTCCTTTGATCCCACCGGAGCTGCCAGCTTTCATTTCCAGTGGGGACTGTGTTAAGAACAGAGGCAGACTTGCTTTCTCAGACTGCAGAGGACACCTCATTCTTCTGGGAAGCCCAGTAGGCCTGGCTCTGGGACATGGGAAGCGGCAGAAGCCAGAGATACTCTTGGTTATAGATTTCACTCATCCTTTTCCACCTTGACTTCAATAAATGAATTCAAGTCAGGACAGCAGGTTTTATGGGACTGGTCAAAAGATAGGGCGACAGGTCCATTTTCATCACCTCCCTCATCTTCCTCTTCTTGGAAATTAGGATTATAAAGTTCTGGTGGAAGGAGCTGGACCTCAGCAGAGGGTAATCGGTCTGAGGGAGGCCCATATATACGGTTGGCTTTAGTGCCATGCTTAGAGTTGGCATCCAGATGGTAGCAGAGCTCTGTGAGGCGCTGGGCCCGGAAACGGGGAGGCCTGGCTACCCAGACACCTGGCTCATTAAGACTGTCCTCTTCATCTGACATCAGCTCTTCTGTCACATCCTTCCACAGGCGTTGTTCCTCTGGGCCAAAATGCCTCATGATACTGGATCGGTTGGCAAAAAGCTATAGGAGGAGCCCAGGACAGAGATTAGGAAGAGAAAAAAAACTATGGATTAGGTTTGGGGAGAGGGTTTGTGTAGGAGGAAGTCTGTGTAAAATCTGTGCCTGAGAGAACCCAAGCCCCCAAGTCAAATCTTAGAACTGGCTCACCCTCCTCCTCCTCTGTCTGCCCACATTATTCACTCTAAACTCTCTTCTTAGATGCCATGACCTCTGGACCTTCCCACTGGTGCTTTATTAGGGTTTAGAGTTTAGCATCTTGAAAGGAAGGCCTAGAAACCTACCCGATATCTGCGACTTCGAAGTTTCTTCTCCTCTTTTTCCTTCAGTCCTTTAAAGGGGTTCAGGGAGTTGCGGTACTCACGCCTCTTAGTAAGGAAGTAGGCTACACAGGCTCCTGGCAGGGAGAGAGAAGGGAGGTAGCAAAGAGCAGTGGTTCTCAGCCCTCTGTTCTGCCCTAACACTACTGGATGGGAGGGTATCACTATTAAATTAATTAAGAGTAAACAAATTTTTTAAAAATCCACTATTTTTTATATTTTCTCTAGTATAATTTATGAAAATTACTTAATTATTCATAATTTTGACTCGGTATTAATGAAAACTAAATCACCCACCTATAATTTTATACATTGAATATTTGGAATAATTTCCAGAGACTAGCTTCTGTCTCCATGCATTTCAAACCTTGCTTGTCCTCAACTACTCATGTATTTCCAGTGTTGTTCCCCATCGTACACATTCATATTGTGACACAAGCTCTGTTCCTGCACCATTCTGGAGTCTGGGAAGTTCAAGGTCATGGTACTGGCAGATTTCATGTCTGGCAAGAGCCCACTTCCTGGTTCATATGTGTTTTTTTTTGTCTTCTCACTATGTCCTCACATGACAGAAGGGCACCACTATTTTCAAAACCTCCTCTTAGGTTTAGCTCTCCCTGCCTATATCATTCTCTAACACTAACTGCTCTAAAGAGTTAAGTACTGGAAAAAGAAAACTCCAATGTTTTTGTAACTCCTTTCCCCCTTCTCCAATTAAACTAACCCCTATTCTACTCTGCTGATAGTGGATTACAAGTGCTTTCTTTAAAAAATTTTTTTTTCCTTGCCCAAGTATATTTTTTCCCATTGATTTTTAGGGAGAGTGGAAGAGAGAGGGAAAGACAGAGAGAAACATCGATGTGAGAGAAGAGCCCCAACCAGGCCAGGGAGGAGCCTGCAACCAAGGTATGTGCCCCCGACTAGAATCAAACCCAGGATCTCTGGTCTGCAGGCCGACGCTCTAGCCACTGAGCCAAACTGGCCTGGGCTCGGTGCTTTCTTTTTTTTTTGTAAAAAGGTGGCTTTATTTGTCACTTATTCACCTTATCTCAGTTATGCCATTTTGGCATATACAGTGACAGTCCCTGGAAGCTGGGGTCAGTCCACCCACCATGGTCATTAACAGACCACAGGTCACGTGCCTGAGCATCAGGGTCCCATTGAGGGTTAGAGGCTGCAGGCAGGGACTTGAGGGGAGGGGGGTTGGGGAGTGAGCGGGGCTCGAGCCTAGGAGCCTGCCGACTGCTGCCCTGGTGTCAGAGGCCATAGCATTCCCCTGGGAGGGGCCAAGCAGACCAGAGTAGGTGTCAGGTCTCTGCTCAGGACTGGGTCTGACAGCTACATGTGATGTGCGATGCCCTGGACCGGAGCGGACAGAGCCACCAGGCTCATCCTGGTTCTGCGGCTGATTTGCCGGTTAGTTTTACGCAAGTTGCTTCTCATCTCTTGGTCTGCCTGTTTTCTGGCTAGCACTGCCAGTGAGAACTCTGAGGAGTCCTCCTGACTCAGACAGGTGTCAGGTTCCCAACTCTACTGAATTATGACATTGGCTTTCTTCAACAGAAGTGTTCTCAATGCTTCAGGGTTAGCTACAGACAAATAACAGAAGAGCAAGGAAAATAGAAAGCCCAGGACATTAAACTCAGGGACAAAAGGGCTGGCCTGGATTCTGATCTCCTTTTCATAACACTGTAGATTCAGGCCTATATAAATATCATGCATAATGGTGTTCTAGCCCTTCCCTTCTCCCATTTTCATTTCAGACAGAGTAGGGGAATAAAAAGGCTGTTAGAGGCAATCCTGTGAATATTGTAGATGAGAAGAAACCAAAAATAATTTTTTTAAACCCACTATTTTCAAATCACCTAAATCATCTCTACTATGCCTCTTCCCCTTTGCCCAGGAACAGGGAGGAAGGATGAAATGGGAGTTCACTTGGTTTTTCCCACCTTTCAGCTCCTTATCAGTGTAATTGTGGGGACTGGTCACCAGCTCCTGCTTGAGCTTTTCCAGAAGGAACTTCACTACTGAAATATTCCAAGAGGATTTGATGCTGCCACAAAGAGAAGAGAGTGAATAAAGCAATCAGCATTTTTGAAACTAGACAAATAGAGATTCCCAGTACTAATCAACTTTGTGATCAATTCCTCCATGGCCGAAAACAGGATGTAAGAGGCAACTGTGTATCCAAAGCCTTCGCCTCATTGTTCTATTAGAGCAGCCCCCTCAGCTTCCCTTCCTTGGCTAAGTATGCTGTGACTCTTTTCCCTCAGGTGGATCATACCTTTCAGACCCATTGAATCTCTTGTCATTGGTGATGTGGTTGTGCACATTGTGGACCAATTTCTAGGGGAAACAAACAAACAAACAAACACAGAATCAAACCAGGGGCGGATGATGAAGCCCTCCTCTGGTTCCTGTGCATTGTCCCCACACAGCTCTCGACCTCTCTGTCTACCTCTCTGAATCCTTTCTGTCAGTGTCCTTTCTTAGCCAGAGAACCTATCCAAGTTAGTATTTCTAATGCCCTCCCCTTCAATTAATGTGTGTGAAGACTCCACGATCATCCCTGGCCTTGCTTCTGCTCCTAAGGAATATGATCACTAGAGCAGAGGGTCATTTCCACAAACATACTCCCAATAGCAAGGAGAGAACAGATACACATCAGGGCTATATTAGGGGGAATTTCTTGAAGCCACCTACTCTTGCAATTTTTAAAAATTTCTTTACAATATATCTGTATTTTAATATAAAAATATCTGTCTGGCTGGTGTAGCATCAACCTATGAACCAAGAGGTCACGGTTCGATTCCCAGTCAAGGCACATGCCCTGGTTGCAGCTCAGTTCCCAGAAGGAGGTGTGCTGGAGGCAGCCAGTCGTTGATTCTCTCTCATTATTGATGTTTCTCTCTCTCCCTCTCCCTTCTTCTCTGAAATCAATAAAAATATATTTTTTAAAAGTAGTACGTGCAGGAAGCAGCTGATCAATGATTCTCTCTCATCATGGATGTTTCTCTCTCTCCCTCTCAATAAAAATATACTTTAAAAAATATCTTCCAAATTTTTCTAGTAAAATTGAGATCCAGGAAAATGTTCCAGGTATAAACCTTTGTACATTACCACAAATTTCAGGGGTACCCACACCATGGTCTGAAAAACACAAACCTAGAATAATAGAAATGTGAAGTGGAAAGGTCCCTTTCACATCATTAAACAGGCTGTCTTTCAGCTTTGCTTATACACCTTTAATGGCGGGTCCTCACTAGTTTTTGAATTGGCTTATTCTACTGTTGAACATTTCTATTAAAAAATTCTGCCTTAGATGCTCCAAAATCTGACTCATTTTGACCATAATAGCACCTGAAACATTTGAAGATGGCTTTCATGAGCTCCCAGAGTCTCCTCTCACCCAGTCTGAGTACCCCGCATCCTTCTGCCACTCCTCGGACAGAGTTCCCACACAGACCCGTCATGAAACTATGAGGGTCTTTGGTTTGCTAGTGTCTCTCTTACAACGTGGCACTTGGAACCACATCTAACTCATAAGTTGAGGTCTGGCCAAAGGGAGCATTACTTCCCCGAGTGGAACTCTACCCATCTAGGAATGAAACCCAAGATGGTGTTACTTTTCTTAGCAACCCCATCCCTACTCACAGTGTCATAGCGTTCATTCACAGTGAACCTGTAGTCAAGTTCATTTTTCACATGGATTAATTATCTCTACCATTCTGCAGATTTTTAAAAAATTTTAATGTAGGATTTTAAATTTCTTCCTATTAAATTTAGTTCTGTTTTTCTGATTATATTTTCATCCGAAGCTCTCACAGTTAATGGATGTTACCCAGTTCTGAGTTGATGGACTCATA